GCTGGCCCAAGGGCTAGGCCATTAAGGTACCTTGGGCCCCCAATTTCATAGGCCCCAGAATATAGACCAAGTTTAAGGAGGTGAGCCCAATTCACTTTCAAGGCCTTGAATGGAATCCGAGAAATACATTGTCAGAAATTGTTACCCCTGACTATGACGACACGATTTAGAATTGATAAGAAATTAACGGGTTAGAATTGACTATTTTTCGACACGAACCCGTATATCGCATAACTCATTAACACGAATAATAAATGAGTTAAGTTAATGTCAAACACGAACAACACGAAATTGACACGATTAATATGTTTAGGCTGTATTATAAAAATAAAATGCCAAATTTTATTATATTTTATCAAGTAGTGACTTAATTCTTATACAAAAAAAAATATATTTTTACTAATTTTTATTATTATATTTATTAAATTAATTTTTAGTTCATTGAAAAAGTATGAACATAGATTTGATTACGTGATAATAAAATTTTAGACATAAAATTGAGCATTAAATTTTTTATTTCTAGGTTATATGGGTCGACATAAATATTACACGAAAATAAATAAATCGACACGACATAACATAATTAGTTAAATAGATTAATTTATGATTGATTAGTATTCGATACGAATCAAAAATAATCGAGCTTAACACGATTGTCACCCTTAATTATATAGCTTTCATTCAAAGTAGTCACGTTTTATTCTTGTCTCAAACTGTGTGCACAAATTGAATAAGCTCAACACCAACAGAACTCACCCCAGTTGAGGATACAAATATTTTCTTATATGGAAAATTTCAGTCACACATTTTTTAATTTATCATATCTTTAAGGATACTCCATCTATTTTTTAAATTTTTACTGACACCCCTTATCAGATTAAAGGTCTTAACTAAAATACAATTTTGCTAAATTGTCCATAAAAAATTTTAGAAAAAATTTAATCCACACCTCCTTTAGATAGACTAATTTTCAATGAGATTTCCTCTGTTTTATGTATTAAAATTTAATTCGATTCGATTAAAAATGGCTTAAATTTTGATACGTTGAAAAATATAAATTTTAATTAACTTGAATCGAATTTTAATTGACACAAATTTAAATAAGTAAAAAAATATAAATTTTAATCGACTTGAATCAAATTTTAATCGACGCTAATAGGTCATATTGAACTCAAACCAACTCAAATTTTAATACGTAAAAAAATAAAAATTTAATCAGCTCTAATTGAATTTTAATCGACTCATATTTTAATATGTAAAAAAATAAATTTTAATCGACTCAAATTTTATATAGAAAGATTATTTGAGATTCATGTAGAGATAATTTTAGTATTTTAGATAATTTTTTTTTGTTAGAAATGTTGATTTAACAGTAGGGAGTGTCAGTGATATTTAAATATAAATTAGACAGGATTTTAGTGATGTTTTAGATAATAGATAGAGTATTTTTGAAAATATTATAAATTAGAAAGGGTGTAACTAAAATTTTTCCTTCCTTATACTTGTGGGTGAAATGTAAAAAAAATAAATAAAACATACAATACAATAGTAATTTGCGAAGCGCATATCAACATGATTTGAATCCTAATATGAAATTAACTAACTAATTTAACATAAGCTTAATCATGTTGTGCTATAAATGGGTCGATATAATTCACCCGTTCGTTCAACCTGTCATAGTTGAATGTTAACTTCAATCAGTTTGACGTATTTATAACACAAACATGAATATAATCTAACATAAATAAAATCAGTGAAATCGTCTAACTCTATGTGATCTATAATATTGCAGTTATAAATTTCAATATAAATAATTAACCGTGTCATATGATTCATATGGTTGGAGATCCACTTGACATGATGGATTGCCTTACCTAATACACCTAATTCGTTGGCATTCTTTGCTTTCACTTTACCACGAACGAACACCTACTTTGTTGGCATTTTTTGGGGTTTAAAAAGTAATATTTTTTTATTTTAATTATTCACTTTTTTAATATATACTCCAATAATTTTTTTATATTTTTATTTACTTCCTTTAATTATTATTTCTCGTTCTTTTTTGTATTATTTTTCTTTGAAAATAGTGAGAGGGGGAGAGAGAGAGATTGGAGGAAAAGAAATGAAACAAGGATAAATAAAATATTATAAAATATTTATACATGTTACTAAAGTGACACTCTAATACTCTAAATATAGAATGTCACTGTAACAAAATATTATTTTAGATGCTCTGGAGATGTTCTATTAGAGTGAAATTTTAGGACAAAATAACTAAATTTTAAAATTTTTGTGTCGTTTAATTATTCTCTTATGCTCTGTTTGGTACGATGAAAAGATAAAAAGTTGAAAGGATGAAAAATTTGATGAATAGATAAAACATCATGTTTGGTAAGGAAGAAAAATAAGAAGGATGAAAAAGTGAATGAATGAGTTTTACTTCCAACTCACAAAAATCAATCCCTCCAAAATTAGAAGAGAAATAGATAAAAAATTAATTATTTATATTGAAATATATTTTATTTGTCTATATATCCTTTGATATATACATATATATTATATTTATCAATTACATATTGTGTGTACATTAATTTTATATATAAATACAATGATAAAATATGTATTTATAATTTTTTTTAAAAAAGCTAAAAAATAAAAAATAAAAAATATATTTTTTTTATATTACCAACGACAAAAAAAAAATTAATCACTTTTTTTTTTCATTCATCCTATCAAATACAAAAGAAGAAAAATGTATCATTTCTACTTTTATTTTTTAGATGATGAAAAATGTATCTCTCATGCTTTCCCTTATTCCTACTAAACGAAACGTTAGAAATGCTTTAAATTCACTTCGTTTATATTCAACTCATTAATAACTAAGTCCATCCCGTCTATATTTATCCATTGAAATACTTTATTTGCACTATTTTTTTTTTTTTTTATCTAAGTTCACATCATCTATAGTTAACTCATTAATGTGCAACTGATTAACTTGGTAAGCTTTCCATTAATGATGGTTGTGGTGGTATCCCTCTGCAACTGAAACACTATTTTTGGGGGATCCCATTTATACATTTCCCTTAAAATTTTCACAATGATGAATTAATTCATCGCGTATTGATAAAGTAGTAATTATATCTGATGGGTCCTGCTTAGACTCGTGAGAAAGATTTCTATCGTTTAAAAAAGCTAAAAAAATTTGTATTACATGAGATATGAATCAATCTCAGTAGTTTTTTTTTTGTTCACCATCATTATTTGCACTATTATTGTCTTTTTTCGTCTTCGTACAACCATCCAAATGTATACGTATACACCTATATACAATACTAGTAAGAAAGTAAGAATCAAAGACTCTTTTTAGTTTATTGAGAAAAAGGCATGAATTAGAACTCTTTACGACTGGTTGTTTGACGGACTTTTTGGTAGGCAACAATGAATCACTATTACAAATACACTCTCACTAATATTTGAGTTTTTCACGATTTGTATTTTGAAAAATTTTAAAATTTTGTAATTGTACTTTTAAAGATTAAATTTTTTACATTACACCTTTAATATATCAAAAATATTATAATATGATTTTTCTGTTAGTTTCTGTTATTTTTTGTATCAAAATCTAACCCATTGACACTACGAAAAACTAACATAAATGTCATATTGCTGCACTTTTGATATATTGAGAGTGTAATATCAAAAATTTATTCTTTAATGATGCAAATTGTGAATCTTAAAATATTTTAAGGTATATAGTGCAATTCACCCCTAATATTATAGTAAAGTCTAAAGGACTCACAACCTCGCAACTAGTGCAACATCAGCCAGCATTTGGCTAAGATGAGTAATGTTACATGAACCTTATTTATTGATTTTGATGATACACAAATTGAGTTTGTACATCACCTGTCAATTGAACAGTAAAAAATGTAGTAATTGATAAGTGAGAGATATAGACAAAAGTAAGACAAGGTTTATAGTGGTTCGGTCCATATAACTTACGTCCACTTTAAATGACTAGGATTGTCGGGTATTTTATTAACTCAAGTGTGTAGAGAGAGCAAAGAGTTATAAGCAATGAAAGAGAGAAAGGATATGTGCTCGATTGAATGTGATGCCCCTCAAGTGTTGCAGGGCTTACAATTTATAATCGCCTCATAACGGATTGGGGCGACTTAATAGTAGTTAAATAGCTAATCTATCGATCATAACGGATTGAAACGACTTAATAGTAATTAAATAGTTGATCCGACGGAGGTGGCGACCTCTTCTCAATTAGCGAGGCAATTACAATACTCTCCATAGAACTCGGTCAAAGGATGATGTGAGGGTCGACTCTTTCCAAGGCGGCGAGGATAAGGTCGTGGATGACCTTGTGTGCTCCTTGCTGATGTAGCTCCTTGAGTTTGATGAGCTTGACCGGGTTGATCACATTGGTTTGGACTTGACAGATCTTTTGGAGTTGGACCATTAATTCAGACTAGGCTTATAACATGAGTTGGGCCCTTGGGCCTGGCCCATCATTTGCCCCCCAATGCCCCGTGTCTAATGAAACTTGGAGAAGAGGACATTCAGTTGAATTTGAATTCTGACTCACAAAGACTCCTCTCCCGCTACGTCTATGTTGCATTTCGACTCGGGGATTGACTTGCCCGGTCAGGTGGCAGGGGCTCGGAGGCGATTCCCCCGAAACCTAAACGATTTTTTGAATCACATACTAATACTCCTCCTTCTTTCTTGATATATATTTTAGTTCTGTAGGACATCTCCAGTTATATAGACTCTTTCTTTTATTCTCCCTTTTGAATTCTAGAAGAGCCCTTGGTTTTGGGTTGGGTCTTTTTGTTTTTTCCTTCCTTTAATAGGATTTAAAAAACCCTAGGTATAAATAGGGAGCTTCTTCCCCATTCCACCCATTCCATAAAAAATTGAGAGAGTGAAGGAGGAGAGCCTTCTTGAAGTCTTTCAAGAAACTTCTTGAGTTGAGCATCTGTGAGGCCATGTCGATTGAGGAAGGAGAAGATGGGTCAGTACCCATCGCTCTTGAAAAGACTGGAGTTGTCCCAGGAAAGGAGTCGCCTGCTGCCATGTTCAGGGTCCATGGGCGTGCAACATAGCAGGCTAGGGCGAGCAGAGGAGGCGCCTCTACTGGGCGCGCTTCATTGGCGAGCGGGCAATAGCCCGAGGGCTTGGGCGAGCCAGGCAAGGGGTTGGGCACCCGTGTTAGTGGGGTGAAGGTGCTGCCCAGTGCAGCGACCAAAAGGTGGAGTAAGAGAGACGCCTCTACTATGCATAGCACTCAAGATAGGCGGGCAAGCTTGCCTGGGCGCGCAGACAGCACTCGAGCTAAGCAGGATCGCGCGTGCAGCACAAGCGTGCGCAGTGAGCAGAAGAGGCAGGCTGCTGGGTTGTGCGGTCACTTAGGCACTATACGTCGGTGCTGTTGCAAGTTGGGAGGCTGTGGCTGAGGCAACCCAACTGGGCGAGGTGCCTGTTGCCGAACTGCTAGGTGAGGGAGATGAGGTTGGGCACATAAGGATACCAGCTGCTGGGCATCACTTGGGCGAGCCTGTCAGGCACTAAGCATGGTCTATCCGTGAGTGCTGACTGTGATCGGGCGAACACATTGAGCACTTTTCGTAGTGATGATTCTGGCAATTTGGTGGATGTTCTGGCTTCTTCGGGTGGAAATCCTCAAAATCAGATTCCTTAGGGCCTCTCTGGTGGTGGCTCAAGCAACTCTTCACGCCCTCACAACAAAAAACACTGAGGCAAGGTAGCCCTTGACGATGATGGATCCAAAGTGAGTACTATTTATAGCACTTTAAATACAGATGCTGATATTTTACGGAGTGTCTCCGCCTACCACATTCCTCCAACTGTGCTATGCCGTCGAGCTGAGATAGGCGAGCTTGCTTGCGATAACTCCTTCGATGACCTTGCCATATATGAGGAGATGCTTGAGGTTGGACTCAAGTTCCCCATGTCTTCTTTTATTTGTCGTTTTCTGCATTACTTCTCACTCACACCAGGGCGGTTGTCGCCTAATGGTTGGAGGGTTTTGCTGTGCTTTCTAGTGTTGTGGAGAAATGTACAGTATGAGGATGCCTTTCCTATCGAGTTTCATGAAGCTTAAGCTCAAGGAGTTTCATCCAGCTTATAATAGTAATTAAATAGTTAATCCAGTGAAGGTGGCAATCTCTTCTCAACAGACTAGGCAGTTACAATACACTTCATAGGATTCGGTCAAAGGATGAGGTGAGGGTTGACTCTTTTCAAGGCGGCGAGGATGAGATCGTGGATGACCTTGTGTGCTCCTTGCTGATGTAACTCCTTGAGCTTAATGAGCTTGGCCTGGTTGACCACATTGGGCTGGACTTGACGGATCTCTTAGAGTTGGGCCATTAATTCAGACCAGACTTATAACATGAGTTGGGCCCTTGGGTCTGGCCCATCAGATTTTACTTGTTGACCTTATCATTTTTTGTTAGAGATAATGGGATGTGAGTACCTTTTTCAAAACTTATTTGGCTTTAAGTACCACATCCAAACTTATCCTCCTTTAAGTCTTTTTTTTCATCAAATAGTTGTCAATAAGTACACATTTTAAAACATTTCAATTTCTTTCTAAAATGTATTCCATAATTACCTCTACCATAAATAGTGCATACCTACTTGAATGTGAGACTTTCAAGATTAGAATGTAAGATTTTCAAGATTCCTTTTGATATTTGTGTATCATTTGAATTTTGAAATTATATATATATACACACACACACACACACATATACACACACACACACGTAATACAATGACATCAAATAATAACACGCTCAACAAAAAAAAGTAACATCAAACAATGACACGATCAATAAAAATATTTGTGTTACTGTTTGATGTTACTATTTTTTTGCTGAGTGTGTTACTGTTTGATGTTACTATTTTTTTGTTGAGCGTGTTACTGTTTGATGTCACTGTATTTCGTGTGTGTGTGTGTCTATATATATATATATGAAATTTCAAAATTTAAATGATACACAAATATCAAAATAAATCTTGAAAGTCTCACATTCAATTAGGTATGCACTATTTATGGTAGGAGTAAAAGGGCTTTTATGACTTTGTTTTAGCATATGTATTTCTATCCTAATTATTTTAAAAAGTGTACTTTTATCCTATTAAGTTTTTTAAGAGGTACCGGCCTCCCTAAGCCCCTTTTTGTTAACAGATTGACAGTAGACCCTACTATTAATTAAAATTCAATGTCAATTCAATAACTATGATCCATCGTGTCAACAAATAAGATAATTAAATTAGGTACAAATAACATTTTTCGGTCCAGATTGACTCCCTTACTCTTGGCTTAACAATGATGATCAACTAAGTTTGGTTTGGTTCGGTTCCTGAGAATTGCAAAACTCTCTATAATACCAAAAAAATAACCCCTTTGTTACCACATAAAAAGTTATGATACAAACAGATCAAGCAACAGTTGATCGACATGATAGATTTAGGATATTTAATCCTAACTTTATAGGTCAATCAGTCCAACATTATTAAACCTCATTACAGTTCTAATTAGCTTCTTACTCGTAATCTAGTGCTAGATCCTCATGAAAATTTTCCTCCAAGAATACAAAACCACCCAAGACTTTTCGTGATTTAATTGTCAAAGATATGAAGGCTAGGGTTTCGATTCAACCTCTATGTGATCTTGTTAGTTGCCGTCCTATAAATAGACTCAAGATTAAAGCCTCCTCCTATAAACTCTGTTGCGTGAGTGTGAAGAATTTAGTAGTTCATCGTCTGACTATCAAGGTTGCCCAGATAATGGGGAAGAAAGAAAAAGATACATTAAACTGACTACTGATTCTGCGTCCGAAATCAACTTTTAAAAGTGTTGAGAGGGAGAGAGATATTATATATATATATATATATCTTAACTTTTTATGTTATTTAGGGATGATTATTTCTGACCTGGATTCACAAATAATATTATCTACTAATAAGAATATTGAACGGGTTAACTAGGTTTCTAGAAAGAATAATCCCTTTTTTGACATCGCAAATTCGTTTGATTGATAATGTATGATGAATATGTTTTCAATTTTAGTTTAAATGATCCCAATCTTACAAGTACGGATTATGTGTGTCAGACTTAGACTCAACAAAATTAATAAATAATTTAAGTTAGTGTCTGAATATCTGACCCGATATTAATTGAAGGGATCGAATTTTTATAGACTATCACACGACACAAATTTAAAATGGCACGATCCGATCTACTACACCATTCTAACCCAAAAATAAAAGTCTATTGTGTTTTCCTTTTGCTATTTTGTTCATAAAATCTTCAGAAGGTATGGATTTTGTATTTATGTAGTTTGGTTTTCCAAGTAGAATAACATGTCTCATACCTGTGCAATAAAATTTAACCTAATTTGTTATTGAAACTATCGAATTATCACCAAGTTTCTATATTGAGTAATGAGATTCACAATCAATTAAAGACTATAATAAATTAAGTCAATAAATTAGGTCAATAATCTAAAAGGTGGATTCATTCCCAACAAGCATTTACAGTGTTAATGAACAGTGTTTTCCTCAATTTCAGTTATTAATTTTAAATTACAAAATTTAAAATCATAAAAATCCCAAAATTATAAATTATAAATGGGACATTATTTATTAATTTAAATAATAAAAATATGATATTGAAAAATAATTTTTATACCCCTTATCGGAATCTACCGCATTATATACTAGGTAGCTCTTTTTTTGGAGTTGTCTATGGTATCAATAAAACAAAATAAGTATTGTTATTGAGACTAAATTTACTGACCTAATTTTTTATAACCCTTGGATTGACTGTGAAATCTATTAAACATTGGAACTTTGTGTTGATCCAATGGTTTAGTTGAAGTCACATCATTATGTCAGCAAATTAAGTTAAATTTTTAGGTTTAAATAAGATTACTCCTGACATTTCTTATATATGTGAATGTTTTTATTACCGTTGTGGGTGTTTTTATCACTATTATGATACAGAAGAAAAGTGGTAAAAATAATTATTTTAACGATTATAATAATACTCACAACAATGGTAAATTACCTACAAAAATTATAATTTTTTTGTATTGAAGAAAAAAGATAAAAATATTTATTATAATATCGATAAAAATAGTCACAACAATAATAAAAATATTAACAAAAGTAATAAATCATCCATAAAAATAATAAATTTTTTAGTTATAAAATTACTCACAAAAATTATAAAAATATTAATTAAACTAATAAATTTTAGAAATATGATAATACATTTTTTTTTGTCCGTATCGTAGTCGGGCCGGGCCCCCTTTCTTTTTTTTGGTTAGAATAAAAGTATGCCGCGTTCATGAAGTCAATAAATGCAACTACCGGATCCTCAAAGAATGATGACCATTTGAAACTGGTATTTTTGATTGTCTATATCGGATGTAGTTGGTGGTGGTTTGCAACCAGAAAATATGTAGTACTTAGTGCGGTAGCATCGCATTCATATCACATTGTGACGCACAAGGAACTTCTACTGTACCATTCGCTGCTAATATCAAAAATTATAATTTTTTTAAAAATAAATTATAATTTTTTTGAGATATAAATTATAATTTTAAAAAATATGATCGATTATAAGATATTGAAATTAATATTATATTTTTCATGATCAATCATGAATATCTATGGTCGATCGTGACCTCATTTTCAAAGTTGTAACTTTACTATACAAAATAGTAATAGAGGGTATTGGTATTGAAATTTTTTTGGTACCTTAGAGTTTCCCCTTTTTATGGTTTAATTGTGATATTGTATCTCTATTTTTTATTTAATAAAAAAATAAATTATGTAAGTTTTTTTTTAAAATTATTTTATGAGTTATTTATCATTTTTTAACTAGTGGTTACAAATAATCCATACTAATAGTTGAACTTTCCAAAGAAAATTAATAATTGAAATTTAATTTTGGTATAGTACAATTTGTCTTATACATTCAAAGGCTAAAAAAATAAAATAAATAACTTGGGCGGGTTGAGAGGTCAACTCTAGGTATATAATCTTAAACACTAACCTTATTCCTATCCATAACCTTACCTCAACCCGAGTACTGCCTGAGTTTAATTTGGACAGGGTCGAATTGAATTCAGATTACTTAATTTGGGTTAATATTGGGTTAAAAATCAGGATGAGCTTGGATTACTTAATTCGGGTTGATTTTTTGAAGTGTAGATTTGATTTTTTTAAGTGTAGATCTGATTTTTTCAAGTGATTTGAGATGAAGGGCGAGACTCAGATGATGAGAGAATGAGGAGTGATGAGTGAGAGAAAGAGGAGAGGGAGGTCGAGAGAGGAAGAAGTGAAAAATGAGAGAGGAATCTGAGAGTGATGGAGGCGCAAGGGTAAAAACTTGAAGTGAAGTGAAAGTCTGGACTCTAAATAATGAAGATAAATAATAACTCTAGTTAAATATATTTATATATTTATGTATATTCGGGTTCAACCCGACAATTCGAGGCCTCAAATCGAGACTTGCCCAAATTCAATTCGGGTTGGAGTTTTTTTGGCCCAGGCTCAACCCAAAGTATTAAAAATTCTAACCCAAGTCCTGCTTTTTTTCGGGTTGAATTCGATTTAGTCCGTCCAAATTTCACCCCTATCAAAGGCAACAAATATGTGTCTTAAGGACACATGTACAAGTCGGGAAAAAATATTCATTTCAACGGTGATATTACGTTAGTATTGTCATGTAATATCATTAATTAATAATGTGTAAACAAATAAGAAAACGAACTCTACACAAACTAATAATTACTCACTTTTATTTCATATAAGTTTTATAACAATTCAAGTGAGATTCACGTTGTCTAATTGGAGTTTTATTATTAGTTAGTGATACTATGCCATTAATGCTTATATGGTATCACCGTTGCATATAATATGTTCCCATGTACGGGACAGATAGGGTTCCAATCAATAGGGGTGCAACTTGGGTTGGATAACCCGACTTTAACCCGAGCCCATCCCGAAAAAATTAGGGCTTGGGCAAAGGTTTTTAAAACTTGGATAGGCTTGGGTCAAAAAACTCTAACTCGAATTTAATTTGGGTTGGGTTCGGGTTAAGACCTCGGGTTCATGGGTTCAACCCAAACCCCAACAAATTAAAAAAAAGTTATATATATAAAGCATTAGAACTGATTTTTCATTTTTTTTCTATCGTTCTCTGTCTCTCTCGTTCATTTTCATTTTTGTTATAGCATTACCACTGTTAAAAGCTTAGTTGAAGTTATTGGTTGTTAATTTAGGTGAATATATGTATTAGGTTTAAAATAACAAGCCTATTTTGGGTTATACTCAAACTCAACCCGAATTTGAACCCGTAAAGTAACTCGAAATCAGCTTGAAATCATTAATCCGAATTCAACCCGAGCTCGCCCGAATTAAACTCGAGCAGTGCTCGGGTTGAGTTCCTTAACCCGAAGTAGGGTTAGAGTTGAATATTATATATCTATGGTTGGATTAGGGTTGATTGTCCAACCCGTCCAACCCGCTCGAATTGCACCCCTACCAATCAACACTACTATATTTCTCAAATAGCTTATCTATTAAGAGTTATGTTATATTTATCGAATCATTCGTCAAATTTTGTAATCCAAATCAGTATGGGTAGTTGAATCAGTAGGATTTACTAATTTTTACTAAACATTTTACGCATGTACTTCTCAATCAATACACATGATTAGAACAATTTTTTTTAAACAATCATTCGTTTAAAGTGGAGGATCTAATCCACAAACCCATCTAGTTTGTTTTTCTATGAGACATTCGATGTCCTTGTCTAATCCTAATGATTAAGTTGTAGATTAAGTCCATGGTTTAAAGTAGTTATGGGCCATTCTCAAAAGCTGGTGGGTCCAGGTTCAGGCTGCTATGTGGATTTTTGGTGTCATAACTGAACTCGAATTTCAGAAACAATGGGGGGGTGCCTAACAGATCCTCTCTTGACTTACTCTTCCTTGGACAGTCTTCCACTACACATCAATTTGCATCAAAGTCTTGGGAAAGAAAAATTTTTACTGGCTGGACATGCTTCAAATTCTCAACTTATTCAACTCCAACAAAATTATTTTTCATTATATGTATACTAGTCATAATTCGTGTTTAAAGACATAATAAGATATCAATTCAAGTGTCTAAAAAATCGATTCTACTATATTGAATTTTTTCAACATATGTATATTATCGTATATGGATAATGTTTGAAATAAAAATTATATTAACTACAAATTAATCAAATATTAAATAATTAAAGATATGATAAAAATGAGTGATGTGATATTTTTAAGAGTAAAATATATAAATGATTAAACATGTGATAGAAATAAGTGATATAATATTTTTAAGGGGAAAATATGTAGAAGATAAAAATTCAAATTGCTATGTATTTTATTATATAGATGTCCATGGAAGTGACTGATCTATAATATAAAATAGAACAAACTTGAATAAATTTATCCGACAATCGCAAATAAATTTATTTAATCGCTATCAACATTTTTCTAAAAATTATTTATATTGTATCGTGTTTTCAAACATGAATTACTCTTAAAAAGTGTCTCATCAGGCCGTAAATCTTAGCTGTTGAGGCCTGGCCGACATGGAGGAACAAACTTGAAGGTTACTTTAAGTATAATTTTGAAAATTCAATAGTGCTATTATGTATAACAACGACACTAATTTCTTCCGTCCAGAAAAAGGCCAAAATAATAATCATAGGCAGCATTATCACCTTTTTGTGCAGTCTAATAAAAAATATAAAAAAAATGTATAACAATTTATAACTTAGTGGAAGTTCATAGTATAATGAAAATGACCCGAAACAGATGTAAAAGGAATCAGGATCCAAAGTAATGTACAAATTTAGTCTACTCTCATGATATGCATAAAAAAAATATTATATAACTATTTATAATAGGCCTGTTAATCGTATTAGGTGAAGTGGTTTCACGTCAAAAAGTACTTCACTCATATACGATTGAGTTGTATTATATCGAATTCGTGATATGTATGAATCGTGTATAACAAATATATAAATGAGTCATATTATATATTTGTTTTGATTGACTCTATTCATACCCGATTTATTTATTAATTATATTGTATCGAGTTTACTTGTTTATGAAATAAGCGGTTTAAGAAAAATTCAAATTCTCTAATTTCGTATCGTGTTAACGGATGATGTCCTCTAACCCATACACATACCTGCTACCAAATCCAGTCACGGGTACCATTGACAATAGGAGTGGTGAGTTATCTAATGAATTAAAGAAAGAGTAAACATTTGGTTGTCATGAATTTATGATCATATGGCAAGCGTATCTTGCTCATTAAGTTTGAGTAATGCTACATAAACTTAAAAATTATATTTGATAATTAGAATTATTGATTTTATTGTGGATCTCAATATTTATTAGGATCCACTACCTATTCAATAATTGAGATTATCAAGAATAATTTTTAAGCTCGTAGTAATACTCCTAATACTCCTAGAAGTTTTTGGCCCTTCAGAATCCTGTAGAAGTTTCTTGTGTTTGAGAGCATGGTCTCTTCCTCAGCATATCACAGCCAAATAGCACTTACAAGTTACAACCTCTATATAAAGAGGCCCTAGAAACTCATCAGTGTGTGTATAGATTGCAAGAGGCAACAATAAGATGGTTCTAAACGTTGAGATAATCTCAAAGGAAATGGTTAAACCATCATCTCCAACACCCCTTAACCTTAGAAACCACAAGCTATCCTTCTTAGACCAGCTTGCACCACCAGTTTACGTTCCTCTCATTTTCTTCTACCCTTCTGATCAGTTGGGCTGTGAGATTGATCATCGTGCCAAAAACTCTCTCTCCCTGAAACAATCTTTATCAAACACCTTGACCCAGTTTTACCCACTAGCAGGAAGGATCAAAGACAACCTTTTTGTTGATTGTGATGATACTGGAGTTGAGTTCATTGAGGCCCAAGTTCATTCTCAACTCTCCAAAGTTATTGAAAAACCCAACATGGAAGAACTGAAACAGTATCTCCCTGTAGAGCCATATAGCAGTGGGATTGGCATGGTGAGGAAGATACTTTTAGCCATTCAAATCAACTTTTTTGAGTGTGGTGGGATGGCCATTGGAGTGTGCATGTCTCACCAGATAGCGGATGGGTCTTCGTTGGTCTCATTCATCAATTCATGGGCTGCAATATCTCGTGGGGATACCAAGATTTTGAGCCCTAATTTTGATATGGCGGCCCACTTCCCACCCAGAGATTTATTAGGGTTTAGACCAACCACAGGCATCACCAAAGAGAAGATTGTGACAAGAAGGTTCGTGTTCGATAATTCACAGTTAGCTGCACTTAAAGAAGCTGCGTCATCGGCGTTTGGATCACAAGTAAAGGACCCAACTCGTGTAGAAGCCATCTCAGCTTTCATCTGGAGGCATTTCATGGAGGTTGCCAAAGTTAAAATGGATACTAGAAAGATTTTCGGTTCAATCCATGCAGTGAATTTGAGACCCAAAATGAACCCACCACTTCCAGATCATGCCTTTGGAAACCTCTGGAGGGTGGCGCTTGCACTGTTGCTGCCGCCGGACGGTGCCGGAGATTATCATGATCTGGTTACCCAACTAAGGAACGCGATAAGGAAAATCAACAGTGATTACGTGAAGAAACTACAAACCGGAGATGAGTACTTGGAGTTTCTCAATAGATCAACAGAACAATTTTCAAAAGGAGACGTGGAGTTTTGTAATTTCAGCAGTTGGTGTAGGTTTCCTGTGTACGAGGTGGACTATGGTTGGGGCAAACCTGTTTGGGTCTGTACCACCACCATGCCTTTTAAGAATGTGGTGATCTTGATGAGTACGAGGTCTGGGGATGGAATAGAAGCTTGGGTGAACATGGTTGAAGACGACATGGTGATGCTTGAGCAAGATCACAAGCTTCTTTCTGCCAATAATTTCGCTGCCTGAAACCCGAGAAAGTTTTGTGTGGGTTTAAGACACCACATGACAGAGTTATATGGTGTATTACGCGCACCCTGTTGGTGATTCTTCAATTAGGAAATTTTAGGCATAGGTCAATATTTCATATTTTCTGAAGTGTTCATGTATCTATCTCTATGTTCAGTATAATGGAGAACAGCACAAACCTGCATGTTCTTAATATTTCTTTCTTCCTCTTCCTCTTCCTCTGGTTGTTGTACTTTTTAGTTATTTATTTGGGCTGAGTGGCTGTGTTGACGATGGGGCTTGTAGATGTCTAAATTCCTTTCACCATTATTACAATTTTTGTTTGGCATAAGCGTTATCTCTTACAATAATGGTGGTTGGACCAGATTATGTTGATTTAATCAAAAACTATAATGATAATGTACACCATTTAATATTAGGACTCACTAATAATTTAACCATAACAATACACATTAAGTTAACAAATTAATAATACCCCTCTGCTTCTCAGCTACTCATCTTTTATCCTACCTTAGAAATAATTGAACGAAAAAGAAAAGAAAGATATAAAGGTAACAATTTTTGATATGACATAAACTTGACATATTAATATGTTAGAGTTGACTTTTTTTTGACACAAATTTAAAAAAGACACGATGTGACAAGTGAAATAAAAAATGAGTTGAATTAGTGTTAAAATTGAATAATGCTATTTGAACACAATAACCTCATTTAATTGGTGTTCAGTGAAAAATTACCTGATTTTTTTTTTATTTTTTTGAACGGATATAAAGTACAAATTCCTATAGATAAGATTTTTAGGTAGTTTTTGATGCCATAAAGATCAAGTGGATTTCTAGTTTACAAAAAAAATTGTAGGCGGTGGGTTTAATTGAGAGAGAAAATAGTACTAGTCTTGAATTTCATGGGTTATTCATGTTAATATGTAGTAGACCAAATTAGTATTAGCACCTCTAGCATAATTAATTAAATAAATCATTATTCTTATTTTTTATCCTTCTTACCAAACAGAATATTAGGGTCTCGTCCACTCATGACACAATAGACCTCTTTACTTCATCGAATATATTCAAAATTATAAAGTGTCCAAGTCTGGTCAACAGACAAACGTTGTACACTAAATTCAAAGCTTGAGAACTAGCTTGTTTAAGAATCCCTGACCCTCGTGCATTAAAAATTGTAGAAACCGATCCATCTGATATATGGACATATTCTTAAACAAACTATTGATGCCTGTGAAAAAAATATTTCGTTTATCTCTAGCGCATGGAATGCAACACAACAAAATTATTCTATTATCAAAAAATAAATTTTATCAATTGTTTCATGTATTTTTAAATTTCAGGATAGTCCTTAAATTATTTTGTGTATTTTCAAATCTAAGGGTAAATATCAAAGTTGGCCTTTAAAATTTGCCTCCAATTTCAATTTGGTTGTAAAACTTTTAATTGCCCCAATTTAATCTCTCAATAATTTATTTTTGTCTCAAGTAAGTCATTCCATCTATTTTTACCGTTACATCAATTGAACCTAATTGGATCCATTTCAAGCGTTAAATCATATATTTTAGTTTGATCTAATGGTGAAAATAAACGAAATGACTTAATTGAGAAAAAATTAATAGTCGAGAGGCTAAATTAAAATACATAAAAAAATTCAATGACTAAGTTATTTGTTGAAAAAATGACCAAATTAAAATTGGAGGTAAAATTTAGAGACCAATTATAATATTTAGCATTGAGACGGATTTAAGACGTCTGAGTTTACAATTCGTTCTTGTTATCATTTGAATTAACAATCAGTTCATTTCTAATTAACTTCTCAAGTATAAGTATCCATGATTCTTTATTCCTCTTTCCTAACCGTCTCTCACACATATGTCTCACCTCTCTCTTTTTCTCACACTAATCTCACACTAGTAATCGACACAATAACAAAAAATATTTCATATATACATTACAAACATATTAAATCACGGGCGCATTATGTGTGCCAAGAAAACTAGTGGATTAATAAAATATTGGGTTCATGTCAAATCATTTTACATAGATTATTAACCAAATCAGATTAAAATTACCTAAACATCGACTCGAGCCCAAACTGACATACTCCCAACGATGCAAACCATATCGGGAGAGGTTTCGCGTAACCTGATTTACATGATCATCAATCTTGTCCTGTGGTGTAATATTATGTCTCTTCTCTATTTGTCCAAATCAGGTCAACTTCTTTTGCCATTGTTAATTACTTCAATGTCCTCCCACAAACTCTTGCATTACTGTTGACTGGAACAAAGAAGCCATGGTTCAAATAAGATACATGGGGCTGAGGATTTATAGACAGAATCTTAAGGCTTCCAAGGTTCAATTGAAGAGCAAAATGATGTAGAACAGCAAGTAATGACTTTTATTTATATGCACCATCATCCAAGTCTGCCCTCACGCCTTACAGAGTCAGCCTTCAGTACATGAACACACTCTACAAGAATCAAGGCCCCTTGAAAGAAAGAAAGAATGAATAAGGAGCATACACTAATCGCAGGTTAACAGAGAAACAACAAAAATTAAGGTAACCGAGGTTTTGTTAGATGTTTTTGGATGGCAAAAGCACCTTCCTGCGATAATCACCTAAAGCCCACAATGGATATATATTCCTGTATGCCGCATAGTGTAACATGCAATTCTTCATGAAAACTCCAGTGATTTCCTGCCATGAAGAGTATGTGTGATGGTGATGGTTAGACAATGCTGAAAGCAGAAGGTTAATTCCATGTCATGTTTGATTTCTTTTGAAAGTTTAATTGTGTTATAATGAAAAAAGGGTAAATTCACACTTCGACCCTTTCAATTATGACTCTAATCTCACTGTGTCCCCGCAGCTCTTGAATTTCTCACATTGCCCCTTAACTACTTGAGTTGTTTTAACATTCCAATACCATGTTACCTAATAGTTGAGGGAGCAATGTAAAACTTGTAACTATAGTAGGAGGTGCAATATGAAAAACTTGATAGTTGAGAGGGTAATGTAAGACAGGAGATAGTTGCTGTTTTCATGTCCAAGCAATTCTGCTTTTTCCTGTCAACTTGTTTTCGTCATTTTTTTCACGAGAGGAAATGGAAGCATCTCAATAATTAAGCAATTATAACTCTGTTTTGTTCAAATTCAAAAGAACACATCTTATGATGATTAATTTCTTCCAAAAATTGTATATGACTGGGTAAACCAGTGTATAGTGTAGCAACATGTACCATGTTCAGGTAAAAGTCCTATTTTTTTTTTCCCCCATATTGCACTTCTTCCAATTTCTTTAGTTTACCTGCTGGGGAAAATCACCGTTTTCCATCTGAGAATTGATCAACAGCTTTGCCACACGACAAAGAGGTGTTGGGTCTCTCCCCGCCAACAAAATAGGAAATCATGGGAATCTATATTTTTTTTACAAAAAAAAGAATATAAAATGAAAATATGAGAACAAATGAACTACATAGTATTGAAACAGTAAACTAACCTGACCAGAATGAATGAGACCCATCAAGGCCCAACCAGTATGCACCAAATTTGACCGGTTTCCTTCTGTAGGGGTATATTCCTGTTTAATCAACCACAAATTTTGTGAGTTTACAGTAAGGGAGAGAATTTAGAGAAGTGTAGCCATGTGGACAATAACTCGAGAGAGTGTATATCTTGTCACGACATCAACTTACTCAAATTACATCATTCTTTTGGTATTAAACATCATGATTTTGGACTGTTTAGGCAAAACCATGACCTTTTTTGGGCAGGAAACATAGCTTTCGCCCCAACCACCACCATCCCTCTGTGTTTTTAGCAGAAAATCAACAGCTTTGCAGATAGCTGGACAATTATTGTAAGTCATGCCAGCCGCTGTCAGACCTCCAAGAGCAAACCAGATGCCATATGTGAAGCACACTCCCCGGTTTCCATACCTGTAAAATTGCTTCATCGTGTTCTTAAAAGGAAAAAAAAAAAAAAACTGCAACTGGTCCACAAGTATAGAATCAGTTGTACTTTAGAGGAGAAGAATACCATGATCCATCAGACATCCGTAAGTCTACAAGGTACCCAACAGCTTTTGTAATAAAACTTTTAATCTCTTTCTTCCTGTGTCTAGGGTAGGACTTCCTAAATAAGACCAGAGCCTGGATTGCCGATGAAGTGCACTCAATATACCTGTATCACTATTTTTTAAGTCTCACAACTTTCAACATACAGTTTGTAGAGGTAACTAATCTGAAAAAACATAATGCATCTTACTCATAATCATTGACAATGTCCTCAAGGAATTCTACAGGGTTAAGCAGCTGAGATGAAACAAAAGAAAATGAAAATTTCAATTTATACTTCAACAGTGGCAAATATGAAGATAATTTGTAAGTCAGATGAATCCACCTCCAACCATTTGTGAGCTCCTGCAGTCTCCCAAGCTGCTAAACCACCATTTTTGCTCTGTCGTAGTTCTTATACAATAAACTTATTAATAGTAGTATCTGAGGTCAATTATGGAGCACGGAGCACAATTCAACAAGTGTAATCAAAGAAAAGAGAAGCTTTGAGGAAGCCTCTTAGTTAATTATGCCATGGTAACATTTCAATGATTCATGTGATCTTTTTGGCAAAAAAAAACTGTGTTGAGACCTTAGACCAAGTGCATAATGAACGAGGAGTTAAACAAAAATAATTTTACCATTTCAATCTTTTTTTTGAAAATATAAAACTTGATTTTTGGGTAACAGACAGGACTAAAATAATGTTGGCGCCAGTTGACCTTACCTGTGGAGAAAGCAGTATATTAACTGAATAATATAGTTGCTCAGGTCCCATTTTCTCGCCAACAATATCCGGTGGCATCAATGATAAAAGGAGGCAACACTGAAGGACAAAATTTGGGAAGCACAAAAAAAAAAAAAAAGAATTATTGAGACGCCATCTTACAGTGCAAATAAGTTATTGCTGCAGCCCTTGATTTGACCGAGGGTTCTATGAAAAGTTGTGTACCTTAAGTCCTTCTGCAGTGCAATCAGAAACTTGCCATCCATGATCTTGATCTGAAAAGGTTCATGATCCTTTAGAAATGCGGCGGTACATGCCCTTAAAGTCACCAGAAGGATTGTCCTTGACCTGCAAAAAGCTTGTGAATAGCATTAAACAATCAGGACAAAAGATACTTATAAGACAACAGTTGAATTGTCAAGTACAACAAAGAAGTTTCTAAAAAAATTAAAACTGATACCTGGGACTGCTTTACGAAATCATGTCCTTTCAAAAGAGTAGGTCCAATTTCAACAGTTAGATCAATAGCCAGCAGTGCCTGAATAGAGAAACCAGTATCCCATTCTTGACTACTGAAACTCTGCATTTGAGTACCAACTACGAAACTTAGCAATTCCAATTCCAACCAACAAAAATATGTGATTGGTTAGAAATGTATCACAGAACAAAATCATAAATATGGGCACATGAATTTAATCTCAAAAGTAGATGAATCAAATTGGAGACAATTTCATTCTTAGTTCGTTATCTACGGAAAATATAGGATTGAGAAGACATATTACTGGATATATTTTCACTTCCACGCATTTTAAAGATGGTGATTGGATATAATCTGGGATCCTAGCAAGCTGCTTCTTGAAATGATCGCCTTCTGAATCCTCTACCCAACAAGCAAGCATACATAGTACCTGCTTAAATCAAGCAACATTTAATAAAAGCAATTACAGATAGCATGTACCGATATAACACTCCATGAACATCTATCCTTTCATAGAAAATCTTGTTCATAGACTGTACTTTACCTTTTGCACACATCCAGCGGTTATGTACCGACTGTTCTCATCTTCATAGTGTATGTGTCTCATGGTAGTTTGGAGAACTTTCTCTCTCAACTTCTTAAAGGGCCAATGAGTCAGAAGAGGCTCAGTGCATATATAGAGACTATCCCATATCAAATTCTGTATTAAGGGATGAGGATAGTAGAGGTCCTCCTGCAAAAAGTTTGCCTAGTCATTTCATGTGCATGAACAAAATGTACAAATATTGGGAAAATGAGGTAATAATAGACACATCATCCAAAAAACAAACAGAAATCAGCATCTTAAATATTAATAGATATACCTTCGCACACAAATGGCGTACTTTTCTCCAATTAATTTCATGGTATGGTTGAGCATAAAGTTCTTCTCTCAGTTGTAAAACAAGGGGAGTGATTGGGCCAACAAGCCTTTTCCCATACAAATAGGACATGGGCAGGTAAACGAGCCCACAATGGTTCCACAAATTTGCTGCAATAAATGAAGCGTAAGTGAAAATAAACCAAAACAAAGAATGTAACTAATAATAGTTTGAAAAGGCACAGCTTTCCCAATCAAAAGCAAGAGAACATCTCTTCTCTCAATGTTACAGGGTCATTTTGCTGAGTTTCTTCAACATGGTTCTCTCAAGTGCCCTAGAATAGGCTTTGACACGTATCCCACATCGTATCCTACCGACAGTTCAGGATTCAGATTATGGTTGAGACATGACAGTAACCGCTGTTGTTAGGCTCCACATCTACCATTTTTGACACATTTGCAACGAAGCCAATTTTTAAAGTTCTGTTTGACCATCTAGGCAATTACCACTTATTTATTTCCACAAAATGAATGCTGAGGGTTTATGTTTAACCCGTAGTTTTGAAAAACTGAATGAACCTGGATGCATAGGAAGGAATGAAGGAATCATCCAATACTCTGGGAGCGTTGGGTTGCTCCCGGACCAGTCCAATACTCCAAGTATCTGAAAAACAGAGAACAATGCATAATATTCAGTCCGCAGGCATCAGGCACAATCACCTTACAGAGTTTTTTCCCTTTGGGTGATGAAACTTATTGTGAATTCTTAAATGATCATACCGAAAGCCATGTCTTGCCCCAGGACGGTATTGCCATCATACTACCATGGTCCAGAATCCATTTCCATGCTCTAGCACAGGCATTGTCTTTCCCACCATCGGGTCCTTCTCCAAGAATACGCATACAAATGTAGCTGACAGCAGTGCAGAACATGACACTGTGGCCCTCGATGTGTAATCCCCAGCCACCATCTTCATTTTGTAATGTGGGAAGTATTTAGATATATGTAGGTGTAACTGTTTGGCAAACTCTGGTTGAAGTTACACATCTTGTAAGATGACAAGCTCACACAAACATTTACCTGATGACAATATAAGTATCGAAGAATTTCTCTGCGATGTTCTGCTGGGAATACAGTATTAAGATGCCCCGTAATATACAAGCACACAACCTGCATTTTTTGGTTTTCAAGAGAAAAATATGGGAATTAGTTGTTGCATTTAATTTTAATGGTTGCGTTATGTAGCTGACAACCTTTATAAAACTCAAGAGATGAACATGAATACGAACAAGTTGACTTGCTGCATTTTATCTAACAAAAGAATAACCCTACTTGGACCTATTGTGATAGACCTAGTCTATCGTTGCCAACAAAATAACAGTGATTCAAATACTACATGGAGTTCATTATCAATCTAATGAATATACAAATCAAACCAATTGTCAAACAAAACCAACCCAACCCATACCCCAATTAAGACAACCAAATTAACCAGTACACAATCCAAATCCAATCCAAACAAGATTTGAATCTATCATCTTTCCTCCCAATCAGCACCAAATGACAAGAGGTATCAACTAAATCATCTTATTCTCTACGAGCATCTCCAATTCTTAGTCTTTTTTAAACCTAAATTTAAATTTGGAAAAAAAAAATCCTAAAAATCTTTATCAATGCTAGACCCATTCTCATATCAAATCAAAGGAGACTCATTTTTTTTACTCCAATCAAGGGAGACTTAAATCCATATCCAAATTTTTAATGGTGAGATTTCACCATTCTTTAAACATCTAATGATATTTTACACCCTTTTAAATATTGGCTTGTCCTAATTTAAATTTGAGTTTCTCTTTCTTTAAATTTTAGTTTCAGTTCTATACCAAATCAAGTTTCTCAATCTTTTTTTCCCTCAAATTTGAGTAAGGGTTAAGGCTTTTATTAGAGATGGTCTAATAATGATAAAGTGACGATGATAATGATTAGCACAGCTAGTAATTACAATTGAGAAGACTCACCAATGGTGGTAGGAAGAACAAAGGGCCAGCATTCTCGGCCGGCCAATGGCCGTCACTGGCTTGCAATGCCGCAAAGAAGTGGACAGCCCTCCTCAGCGTGGTTGTGGCTGTTTCATAAGTAATTTCCTCACCATCTTCAGCCTTCACTTGGGGAATTGTTTGCTTGAAATTATTCTCTCGTAGGAACTGCAATCATGGTGGAACGACATAGAAGAAAGGATCCTACTGGGTGAATTAGAAACCCAAAGAGATACAAAAATCCCAAACATGATCTTTAATAAATTGAAAGATTGCTTAATCAAAGCCAAGGCTTATAGGCTGCGGTTTGGAAAAGTGAATTTGAAAATGGGTTAAGAATTCTAAATCTGAAAAATTAACAAGACAGATTTGTTCCAATAACAGAAACCAAAAAGATTCAAATTCGTTTTCCCAAATCTTAAACTCCGTTTGATTAGAAAGAAATTGTTAATGGAAAGCGAAAAAGATTGAAAGTTAAGTAAAAAAAAAAATAGAAAAAAAATTTATTGTTTCATTAGAATAAAAAGTTTGTTAAAAATATTTTTAATCTCTAAAATATGTACTTTTTATTAATTTAATTCAAAATATTTAATCTTTGTCACTTTAGTTCTTAGGAAAATATTGTTTGAAACTAAAAATCTGATATAATTTATTGACCTAATGATGTAGTTTTATTGAAACCATTAGATAAACACCAAGTTCTAATGTTTAATGGAGCCCGCAGTTAATCCAAAGGTCATACTGAATTAGGTCAATAAATTAGGTCCTAATAGCATTGCTCTAGTTTTTAATCAAATAATCTGTTAAGTTTTTTTTTTTACAAAAGTGATTATGTGTCAATTTTTAGACAGTATCACATACTTTTTTTTTTAATCCAAAAAAATGAAGAAATATCATTCAAGTAGAAAAATGATGATTACAGCCAGTAAAATCCAAAAACAAAAGCCATGAACTTGCGTGGGAGACAGCTGACCCAATTCACACTGAGTGAACCCGTCATATCTGCTGCAGCCACCCAATGAGCAAACCTATTTTGGGCCTTTGACTTGTAAAAAAATCTAAGATTAAGATGAGAACAAAAAATCTGATATCTGCCACTAAAGCACTAAATTCCCATTGGGGATCATTTTCATCTTCCTTCCATAAAAAATTTAACGGATTATTTATGTAGGAACCAAAATGACACGAATTAAATATTTTATATATCAAATTGATATAATGAAGACTAAATTAATAAAAAATACATATTTTAGAAATAAAAAATTCTATTAACATAAGAAAAATGATCGAAGAGGTAAATAATTGGACCTAATTCAACCCTAATCTATTGACCAATGCTCTAGGATCTTTGGGGACTTTAAATAGGACCTAATTCACTGAATAATTGTGAATTTAAATTTCAATTTAATGGTGGTATTAAATTAAATTTTGAATTAGATTTTTAAATTAGGCAACATACTTTGATAGGGAAATGTTATTTGTACATAATTTATTGACTTTATTTATTGACATGATAGATTATAGATATTAAATTAATAATGAATCTCAATTAATAATGCAGTCTATTGTCAATCTAATGAGAGATGGAGAAAGGAATTAACCTGTGACCTGTCGCTCCGTCGTGGTGAGGTTTAGCCATTCGGGTAGCACCATATTAGAGAATGAAATTAAATTACAACTTAATAACACTTTTGATCTCTAAAATATATATGTTTTTTTAGTTTAGTCCTTAAAATATTAATTTTGCTCCTAAAGTATCATTTTTGTCCATAAAGTATTCAATCTGTATTTAAAAGGTTCATACACATACATAGACAGATCGTTAGGTTTTTGATAGAATGATCATGTGTTAGTTACGTGATACCGTTTGAAAGAATAACATGTGATTACTTTTATAAAAAAATTTAACAAATTATCTAATTAAGAATTAAACTGATAAGAATTAAAATTTTAGAAACCAAATTAATAAAATGAGGATCAAATCGATACAACATTCATAATTTAAGGATCGAAAATACTATTAACCTTAAATTAAATTCAGGAAAAAGATACCAGAGGTCCTCTGACAAAAATAGAACTTTAAACGAAATTATTTTGATTCAACCATCTCTTTTCTCAACTTGCCTACTGAAATTGTATAATATATTTTGAATACCAACTAATCACATAACATAATATCTCCAGTTATTTTTATCTCTTTTGAGATTCTGAAATAATAAGCGATTCTATAAATCTATGGAGTTTTCAAAATAAGTTATTTATCTTATTATTAATCACGAATTTCTTGTCATAAGAAACAAAGACATATTCTACTCCGTATCAATGGCATTTTTATTTTCGAAATAAATTGTAAGACCCTTACGAAACTCTAAATCATGATTGCTACAAAGATGTACTCTAGCTAGGGTTCTTGATTATAGAGCTATTGAATCTCGATCACTCCATAATGGTCACGCCTTTTCGAATTATACAGTAAGATCATTCTGACTATTAAGGGTTTAAATAAGTTTTCGAAAATTATAAATCATCAATATTTAACAAAAAAAATACATTGTTTAATGTCTGTTTAATATTTTCAGAAAATTTTATGTTTTGATTTCATCTGATAACTATAAAAATCAAGTTTCACTATTGTAATGTACTGTGATGACAGCAAATAAATTCATGTTGCATGTAAAAGAAATCAAATCTTTATTAATATAGATAAAATTTATTTAAAATAATTTTGGAAATATAAGTTTTATTTAAACAGATAAATATACCTAAAATGTCAAGAAAAATAAATTTTATAATACAAATAAATTTATATTATATATAATGAAAATCAAAGTTTTATTCATACAGATTAATTGACCTAATATAGTTTCCAAGATATAAAATATATTAAAACAGATAAATTCAAAGCAAAATAGTCATGAAAAACAAAGTTTGTAATTCAAACACATTCATCATTTTAGAACTTTTTTTTTTTTATTGTAAATACTGAGAGTCCTAATATTCGATAAATTGCATGAATAAAAAATGTTTTGAATAATTCAAAATTAAAGTCTTTCAAAAAAAAAAAAAAGACTCAAGTAAATATATGTACATATACATTCTTTAGTGTTTGTTGAGATTATTCGTTTTCATATTTCAATTGATTTATCGATTCATATGCATATTTGATTGTTATTAGATTCATATATACATATTTATATGTGTGTGTAAATCTGTGAAACATTCGAATATTTTGATATAAAGTGAAATATGAGTCTCTAAAATTTTCAAAATTGAATAACTGAATACCGAGAAAGAGAGAATCTTTTTTGAGATTTGGAACTAAAATTTTAAAAAATAATGAAGAATATTAATATAAAATTCAAAACCTTTCACATAACAGAACACATGCATATGGTAAATTGGTAACTGAATAACCTTGATTTTGGCCTGAAACACCAAAGGACAATTAGATAATTAAAAAATAAAGGTTTAATAGCACTTTTAGCCCTTAAATATTTCAGTTTAGTCATATTTTTATTAATTTTGTTAATTTGGTACCAAAAGTTTTAATCTGTGTCACTTTAATCTTTAATCAGATAATTTGTCAAGTCTTTTAAGAAAAGTGACCACGTGTTATTTTTTTAAATGGTATCCAACACGTGTTATTCGTTAGGTTTTTTTGAAGAAGGTGACCACGTGATACACAACACGAGATCATTTCGTGAAAGTGTTGTTCACTAATGTTCGCTTAAATTAATTATCATTTAATATTAAGTTTAAATCAAATTACAAGATCTAATATAAACAAATCCTATATAATAAATAATATTAAATAAAGATGATTGCTATTAAAGAGATATGCATTAATGTAAGGTATTTTTATTTTTTTCATCTCATCAAAACATAATTGGTATAATGAGCCCACAATTTATACAAAAAACATGATTTAGTTGGGATGAGATCTTTATTAGACTAATGAGACCACAACTTATCCAAAATTTGATACAAATATAATTTAGTTGGAATGATATTGGGATTGGAATAATACGCTCACAATTTATTCACACATTGATCCAAACATGATTTATTGGAATAAGATAAAATACAGTTGACTAATTATTATCATCGCTATAAAGTGAATTATAATCAATTACTCAATCTCATCCTATCCTATCTTATAAAACTTTAAATTCAAATTGAAAGCAGGTTGAATTTGAATTTGGATCTCATATTTCATAACTCGAGTTAAATTTCAGTTTAATTAAAGTTCAATTTGGGTTTGGCTCATTAAGTTCCAAAAAATGAGACCTCAATTCAAGTTCTATCCGATTTCAAATCAAGTTGAGGTTTTATTTCCCCCAACTAAACCAGCATTAGAAATCTTGTATTGTAGAATTTGAGTTACACTCGAATTAGGTTTAACTTGACTAGTCTAAATTATACCTTTAACTAAAAGAAAATATTGAATGCAACAGTGCCGTCATATTATTATCATTACATAGTGACACAATTCAATAAGAAAAGAGTAATGTTATAAGAACTTAATTTTGGGACGTAGTTCAATGTAGTCATTGGATTAATTGTAAGTTGTAATATTAGATGAAACCCACTTTCAATTCAATAGATGCATTAAGTTAGGTCCCAAAATCGTATCCAAATAATATTGAGAAATGTTATTTGGACTTCAAAAGTTGACACAATTTACTGACTTCATCGATCACAATTATTGAATAGACAATGAATCTTAATAAATACTAGGATTTACATTTAAATCAATAAACAGTAATTGATTGAGCAACATGCATATATATATATAGAGAGAGAGAGAGAGACCTACATTTGGCGTTGCCCGAATGGTTTCACAGTGAAACAAACGGGGAGAGGTAAAGAGAGAGAGAGAGAGAGAGAATTGAACCTGCATTCGCCAAAGGAGATCACTGCTGGGCTTGACTTGCTAACGATTGTTCTAGAATTGAAGACGAGCTTCTTCAACCTCAGCTCGCTCTTCAGGGCTGCCATAATCTGGGTTGAACTCCCATATCTGTCAGCCAACATAGTTGTTTGTGCCGTAGAGATACGGGTCACTTCCTCCTTCTGCGATCTTTAGCCTCCACATTTTTAAAAAAAATAGGTTGACTTTGCTTTAGAGATGCTGCCTACTACTGCATGCTGTCGAAGATGATATTGTTTAGTCATCGTGTATATAGTATAGATAGATATGTGTGTATAATGTGTTTGTATCCTTAACCCTACTAAACCCCCTTAAAGAGCACATAATGTAAACTTCACTGCATGTCTCATACAAACCTCTTCTCTTGCTCCCTCCTCCCCACCCCCTCCCCACCCAAAAAAAAACAAGTTCTCAGTTGACTACAGTATTTCACGCTTGGTAGTGTTTTAGCTCTAGCTAGATTTTTTGGGTTTCACCTACACTAGGGAAGTGTGGATGTGAGTGCGTGCCTGTGTGTGTGGATGGAGTGAAAACTTGAGAAACACCTCACGAAATTCTATAAACAATACATGTATTCAGAAAAGAATCTAGTCTTTTTGTGTAATTTATTATTTCAATTGGAGTATTGATTTCAATTTTAAAACTTCTTTTAAAATTTTTAATTCTGAAAATAAATTTAAGCCATCAATATTTGTAAATATATTATATTTCAGAAAAGTTTCAAGCTTAGGACAATGTTTTTACAAATTATCTTCACCTAAATATTTTATTTTTTCACAACTAAATCAAAATATAAAATATTTTTATATGTTTTAAATTGTTCAAATCTTTTTTATCGAAGAAAGAGCTTGATCTACAACACATATAAAGTAATCAATTTTAAAAGATTTTTTGGGTGAGTGTGTTACCTCATCAACAACAATCTCTCATCAAATTGTATTTGATTTTTTTTTTTGTTTTTTTTATGAATTTTACATTTCTCAAGAAATATAGGTTCTATTTTCATTTCTATTGCAATCTATTTTGATGAGATCAAAGTAGAACTAAATCCATTTTCTTTATATGATTTTAGAAAATAAATAAGTCATTTAAATTTATCCATATAGCAACATTAATATGTATGTTTTTAGATCAGTGTTATTAGAATCGGACTGGACCAACCGGTTCAATTGTGAACTAGTACCTTGACCAGTCCGGTTCCATAGTTGGACCGCTTAAGAAAGTGAATCGACTATAAACTAAAAAATCGGCTGATTTTTGTTAAAAACCGTAAACCGGCGATTTTAAAAAAACAGAACAATTTAATGCCAAAATAAATAATTAAATTACATAAATAAATTAAATTAAAATTTTGGGGCTTTGTTTTGCCCTAAATCGCAAAACAGAGGGCAATCACCACCAGGCTAAATCGCATAACATAGGGCACCACCACTAGACGACTTCGACTGCGACCAGCCACTGCCCACTGCAATCAGCCACCTCGATCAGCTACCAGCGACCAGCGAACTCGACAACCAGGTTTTCCATATCTTCCTTCCTTCCATAAGCCACCTGTCTTTTTCATATCTTCCTTCATATCAGCCACCACTCTTTCATATGTTCCTTTTATAAGTTCTATTAGACTGTGATCTTTTTTTTTTTGAAAAGGGGTATAATATGATCTAACCAATAACCAGGTTTGTGTTTGTGTTTGTGTTTTTGACTGTGACTACATCTTTTATTT